TTGAAACCCGCCGCCGTCGCCGCACTTTCGCCGCACTTTTGCCCCAATCCGAGACATGGACGTCGCGCCCGCGCAGCTCAGTCGTGCCAGAACAAAAAAAAAGAAAAGAAAAGAAAAGAAAAGAAAAGAAAAAAGAGAGGCGTAAGAGGATCGAGGTGATGGTGAGAGGTCGGCGGACGCTGTGGCAGTCGCCGATGGTGGGCGGCGGGGCGTTTGGCCGGCGCGGGGTGTTCGATGACGCTTCGACGGCTCCAAAAAAGGACGATCGACAGGGTCGTCTGGGCTGTCAGAGCGTTTCTTTTTACCAGGTCAAGCAACGGTCTGCTTGCGGCCCGGAAAATGGGAGTCGCTACTCGCTGATGCCGGCACTTGGCGGGCTGGATTGGCAGATGGGCTAAGGCACGCGACAAAGCGCTGACAGGGCCGATCGAAAGCCAGACGTCGCGCGCCCGGGATCGTTGCCCTGTTGGATTCGACACCCAGGAATCGCCGATCTAGCGACAATATGACACCGTCGACTTTTTCTCTTATGCCGCCCGTCGCCCTTCCGCCACCTCCTTCGTCCTCGCGTCATAGAAGAGGATTCGAGACTATGCCTCTTGTGCCACCTCTGCTTCCTCACTGATTACCTACTCTACTTCCACCACCACTTATACTTACTACCTAGGCCCTGAGGCGGGCATGCCGCCCGCCCCCGACGCGCCCTCCCCTGGTTCCAGAATATTGTTGCAGCCACCACTTTGCCCTCGTCTCGGCGCCGCCTGGTGACCTCATCCTTTTCACCTCTCTTCACGCTCGGGCTCCCGCTTCATCCCTTGGTCATACCATCGTCCGAGCCAACACACCCGAAACCGCTCTTTCTTTTGCCGGTCCCCGCCTCCCAACGATCGCCAGTACATCCTCGACCATTGACGCATACTATCCCTGCCACGGGTGCATGAATAAGTTGGTCGTGCTGCAAAAAGAGAAGGACAATCTGCTTGGATGAGTCTGTTAGGAGCTACAGGGCACTCTTTCACAGACAGTGAAGAGAAGGCCTTCGACCTGTCACTCGGCCACGCAGCAGCCCTTATGCGAGGCGGCGGTGACGCCGCGGATGACGGGAAGCGAGGTTTAGCTGCACACGAGGACGCCAGAGCCCTGGTGAGGCTCATCCAGTGCCCCCAATGCTCACGGCCTTTCAGGACTCCGGTCACTCTTCCTTGCGGCCATTCTCTCTGTCGACAATGCCTTCCGGAGCCATACCAAAGGCAAAACATATCATATCCCGCTACTCAGGACCGTTTGTATGGAATACAATGCCCGTTACCGTATTGCACAAAAGAACACCCCGTTGGAGATTGCACCGTCGATGTGACCTTATCCAAGGTCATGGAGTCGATTAACGCAGTTGTGGAATCGAGTCGCTCCGCCGCAGAACATTCCCCAATCATACTCGAAGAGATACCCTACCCGGACACACCCATGACTGAAAATGAAAAGAGCGTGGTGGAACCAAGGTCGATGACCCTCTACGGAGGTCGTCTGATAGCGACATTCATACTGGCTGAGAAGGGCTTGTTGGATATCAAGGCACAAGTGTCATATACTTCATTGGCGGAGGACGGAAGCGATTACCATGATATCGACGAAGACATCCTGGACAGATTGAGGGAGGGTACGCACAAGGAACTGGATTGTCATGTTTGCTATAACATGCTTCTGGATTCTGTCACGACGTCCTGTGGCCATACGTTCTGCCGGAATTGTCTTGCTCGAGCCCTTGATCATACGAACCATTGCCCGGTCTGCCGACGCGCCTTGACCATACCACCCTCTCTCGGGGGTCAACCAAGTAATGCTTGCTTGGACTCGCTCCTGAACAATCTCTGCCCGGAACTCGTCGCCGCCCGCGAAGAAGCTGTACAGATGGAAGAGCACGGCGCACCCGAGTTCGACGTCTCTTTATTCGTCTGCACTCTCAGCTTTCCCGCAATGCCTACCTTCTTGCACATCTTCGAGCCCCGCTACCGCCTCATGATCAGACGCGCAATGGAGGGCAACGGTCAGTTTGGTATGCTGATGTACAATCGGTCTGCCTCAAACCAGGGCAACCTTGGCCCCACTCAGTTCAGGGAATACGGCACAATGCTTCAGATCGTAAATATCCAGATGTTGCCCGATGGTCGGAGTTTGGTCGAGACGAAAGGTCTTACTCGCTTCAAAGTCAGGGGCTACGCGCCGCATGACGGATACATCATCGGGAGCGTGGACCGCGTCGAGGACGTGAGCCTTGCGGAAGAAGAGCGTCTCGAGGCCGAAGAGATTAGCGCCGCGCTCGCAGAACAGGAAAGGCGGCGGCTGGAGCAGCAAGCGCAGGGCTCAACCACCTCCGTCAACGCGAATGACGCCGCGGCCATTAGCAGTCTCTCGACGCGTGATTTGCTACTCATCGGCGTCAACTTCATCGAACGGATGCGTGCCAATAGCGCGCCATGGCTACACCAACGCATTTTGGATGCATATGGTGGACCACCGGACGACCCTGCCTTGTTCCCGTATTGGTTCGCGAGCATCCTGCCTATCGCCGAGGAAGAGAAATACCTACTACTGAAGACTACCAGCGTAAGAGAGAGGCTGAAGATCGTGGTGGGATGGATCAGAAGAATTGAGAGCCAACGGTGGTGAGTGGTCCCGCTTTTTTATCTTGTCTCGTTGTCTCCATGTTCGCGTCTAGTCATACTTTTCACAAGTTTATGACTTTGTCAGGTTTCCATCTATATGTTTTTCTTTTCCTGGTTCTGATAACCAACTCCCTCATCTCTTCCCCCACATCTTTCATTCCGCCAGCTTTGCGCGCGGAATAAATCATAACTAATACGGTATTTGGGTTGCGCTGACAGGCGTGGTGGAAGCGCGTGTACAGTCTTATAGATCGTTCAGTCACCGTTCAGCGTTGGCTCTTGTTCGTCGGCACTGTTGTCCTCGCCTGGTGGTACGCCGTACGCTCCGCCGAGTAGATGCACAGCAGCAGCCTTGTCACCGAAACGCTTTTGATTGTTCGACCAAGGTCCTGCACGTACCTACTGCATTGCAGCTGTCAACAAGTAGTGCCACATCAGCCGCGTCACATCCTGCAAGAAGAAAGCTTATCTGAGGGTATTTTCGAGAACCGCAGAGAAAAGACAAGCAGTTCGGACCCATGATCGATGGATGTCTCACTATTGTAGGCTCGTTTCCGGCTCTCCACCCTGGTCCTAGCGGCATGACAACTCGCGTCACACAACAACCTTGATGATACACTACCTCGTTAGCGGTACCACCGTTGCGAGTTGGAGACTAAAAATGCAGTGATCATCATCACCACGACGATCAGCAGTGGGATCCGTTACAATCATCGTTTCCTCCAAAGTCTTCTCGTCATTGTCAGATGAGTCGAGGGGCCTTTGCGATCATCACTATGTTCTGTTTTTTTGTCATCTCACATCATCACCAGCAACCAAGGCAACTAGCATCATCGGCGTTTTTCGGCGACATATCTGCCTGCACAGTTCGGCTGTCATCATGTGAAGCACGGTATGGACACTTTTTTCTTTTCTTTTCTTTTCTTTGGATCTGTTTATTGTTTGCAAGAGCCGGTCTGGTAGGACTCGGATGCGCCATATCCCCTATTGTGTTTCGCGCGATTTGTCTGCGTTTTGAGAGAGCGGTTCGAGCAGTCGAACCGCATGGCCGTTGCTGCACCATACCATCTGTGGTCCAAATTTGATACACTGCGGTTTGATGCTTTTTTTAAGGGCCCATGCAGCGTGCGGAGTTTCGCGGGTTTCGTCTAGCAAGAAAAGCTGCATTGATATATGTGAGAGTGGAGAGATATGAGCGAGAAGAAAGATGATTTGGTTGAGACTTGTGGAGGATGGAGAAGAGAGAAGTGGCTTTTGGTGGTCCGTGGATAGGAGACTGATCGGTTGAAGGGTGCTTGATGCGCTTGTTGTATATGTTGCGTTTGCGCTTGAGGCTCGATTGATCAATTAGCAGAGGTCGTGAATTTTATTGATTGGAACTTAAGTTTGAAAGTTTTCTAATTGTGTTGGCCGAAGTGATTCTTGTGCGTACAAGCGTGCGGATGAGGTACTTGGCTGTTGTCTTTGAACGACATGCTGTCAGTTTATTTATTTACATACCTACGCGGGGTGGTCGTTGGGCGACAAAGAGTTGACGTGTTTGATCCGTGCGCCGAGTATCGTTTGCCGAGCTCGGAAGGCGAGCTTTGATGATAAATCCAATCCGTCTCCGCTCCGGCCTCCGCATCACCAGACAGCCAAGCGAGTCGACACTTTCTCGAAGATGCTATCCTCTGTCGACCTTTACATTTTGCCCTTTGGCCTTAGCGCTCCGTTTTATTATTCGCAAACATGATACCCTCCTTCCAGGTACACTCGCCTTGCGACAATTGCGCTTAGAGCACGGTTGCTGATCTCTGGCAGACGACGTTTGCGGTTCCGCTGAGCTGCGAAGCTTGTATCAAAGATGTCTCTACTTCTCTTTACAATCTCGGAGGTACGTGTAGGCTATAGTCGGTAGCCACGACGTACGCTCATGGTTCACGGCAGGTGTGAGCAAGGTCGACGCGGACCTTAAGCAACAGCTCGTGTCCATCGAGGGCACGGCTTCGCCGTCGTCGATAGTCGCCGCGATCCAATCGACGGGCCGCGATGCCATCCTGCGAGGCAGCGGCGCCACGGATAGTGCGGCCGTCTGTATCCTCGAGACGCACAGCACCAGCGTGTCGGACAAGGTGCGCGGACTGGTGCGCATGGTACAGGTTGCGGCGAACCTGACCATCATCGACCTGAGCATCCGCGGGCTCTCGCCCGGGACCTACTATGCGACGGTGCGCGAGCGTGGAGACATATCCGAGGGCGCGGCGTCGACGGGCGGCGTGTGGGACGCGGTCAAGGCGAAGGAGGAGAACCGGCCGATTAGGGGCGTGTTTGGCACAGTCGAGGTCAACAAGGGCGGCGTCGGTAGCGTCTTCCTGGACCGTCCGATACAGATTTGGGAGATGATCGGGCGCAGCGTGGTGGTGTCGCGGAAACAGGAGGGGGCGTTGGACAAGGAGGATGCGGATACGCTGGTCGGGGTGATTGCGAGGAGCGCGGGGGTGTGGGATAATGATAAGACGGTTTGCTCGTGCTCGGGCAAGACGGTGTGGGAAGAGCGAAAGGAGCAAGTGGAGCGGGGGATGCTCTGAAGAGGGGTTGCCCAGTTGCCCAGATGAGCATGAAGAGCAGCATGTCACAGCCAAATGTCAGTTGGACCAAGCAGGTCAAGCTTTCATGCAGCGGCGATCGGCTGCGGATGATGGAGCGGGCGTAGCACAAGCTATTGAATATAACGTCACGTGTGTCTGGGAACCCGAGTCGAAGGTCACAGAGATGAGGCAGCAGAGTTTCAACGCCAAGATGATGAGAAGGCACACCGCCGTGAGGCTCGCTCTCGCGGTCACCTGCCCATCTGGCGATTTTGCAAGTAGCCGCTAACCCGGAGGGCTCTCGGGCGTGACTTGTCGCGATTCTACGCGCCGTGGATGTGAGGGTTCGCCGACGCACAACCAATCAAGGCCCCCGCACACGCCCGACACAGCTGCGACAAGCCGAGCTTGGCGCTGGGCCTTTTCACCAGTGCCCATCGCCGCCTGCTTCGACGCGCCGGACGTCCTGCTCTCTCGTTCTCCTCCTTCTCCACTCGCTTGCCGGCTGCCGTTTTTCGGGGCGCCTATATCCTCTCCTTTTGCCGTCCCCCCGTTTCCTCGCACCTGCTGTTCCCCGTCTGTCTTTTACTGTCTTTCCGATCGCCGCCCTAATCAGTTGCTCCGAGCTCCCCGCCTCTCTGCTGCGCAGCCGTCCTATTGGTGCATGCTCTGGACCCTCTCCGGCGGCTACACAAACCGCCCATCCCTGCCGTTCATCTCTTGATTATATCTGCTTGCTTTTACCACCCAAGCTGCCCATTGATCTCCTGATCGCCCGCCATGTCGTTGAAGCAGGTACGTTGTCTACGACCCCGCGCCGACCCAGAGACTGACTCACAGCCGTGCAGGAAATCGAGACCTGGGTGGCCGCGCTGGCCGCGTACGATAATAACGAATTCGACGAAGCCCTGAGCTATTTCGACGCCATCGCCGACACCTCCAAAATCCTCTTCAACTGCGGCGTCATCCACGCGACCCTCGGCGAACATGAGAAAGCCGTAAGCTCCCGGAGATCGCCAGTGTTGGGGGGTCATGTTCGCATGCTTACGCCTGTAACAGGTGGTCTGCTATCAGCGCGCTGTTAGCCTGGACCAGTACCTCGCCGTGGCCTACTTCCAGCAAGGAGTCTCCAACTTCCTGATGGGCGATTTCGAAGAGGCTCTGGCCAACTTTAACGACACACTCCTGTATTTGCGCGGAAACAACAACATCGATTACGAGCAGCTGGGCTTGAAGTTCAAGCTGTATTCTTGCGAGGTCCTGTTTAACCGCGGTCTTTGTTACATTTATTTGCAACAGAAGGATGCTGGTATGCAGGACCTGTCTTTTGCCGCCAAGGAGAAGGTTGTCCCGGACCATGATGTTATCGAGGAAGCTATCGAGGAGCAGGCGGAAGTAAGCAGGGGTGGCGGTATCTTGCATATGGTGCGGAGTATCTGACAGGGAACAGGGATACACCGTCTTTTCCATCCCGGTTGGAATCGTCTACAGACCGAACGAAGCGAAGGTCAAGAACTTGAAGGCCAAGGATTATCTCGGAAAAGCCCGTCTCGTGGCGGCCACGGACCGCAACAATGCCTTCACCGGCTTTGCTGGTGCGGAGATTAAGAAGCTCAACGATGGCGTTGTCGGCTCAGCGAAGGACGATAGGCCTGACGACAAGATTTCTTATGCGGCCACCAACCTCGTCAAGCCTGGTTTGACCAGCAGGTCAAGACAGCAGTCTGAGCCGCCAATTAACCGCAACGTATTTCCACCGACCCCGCCGCCAGAGGCAGAGAACAGAAAACTCACCTCTCCTGGTCGTACCCAGTCTACTCGTTCGTCGGACCGTAAGCCCGCGCCGCTGGAACTCGGACGCGCCGCATTCGAGCAGCCTCCTTCCCGCCCGAGACCTACTAGGTCCATGTCAGAACGCCCGCGTCCCACCAGGGAATACTCTCACTCGTCCTCGCGCAGTATGGACACGACTTCGAGCCGTAGCACGCGCCAGACGCCCCTGCGCCGGGCCGTGGTTTCAGACGAGGAAGACGACTCCTACCCCGACGAGCTGTACGACATGTACGACCGGGGCCCGAACAGGAACCCGTATGGCGGCGGGCGGTCCCGCTCCCGACCTGTGCGTCCCATGTACATCGAAGAAGAAGAGGAAGACCCGTACGACCAGTCGTCGGTCGAGGAGGGCGACTTCGACATCATCCCTCCGGCGCGCCAGCGGACAAGACGCCCCTCGGCCGCCGGCAGCAGCCGCGTGCGCGGCCAGTCGGCGCAGCGGCGCAGCCAGCCCGGCATGCGCACCATTCGCGTCAAGGTGCACGCCGACGACACGCGCTACGTTTTCATCGAGCCGAACGCGCGGTTCGTCCTTTTCGTCGATCAGATCCGGGACAAGTTCGCGCTGCGCAAGAACTTCAAGATCAAGATCAGGGACGAGAATGACATGATTACCATGAGCGACCAGGACGATCTGGACATGGCCATCATGAGCAGTAAGCAAGAAGCTAAAAGAGAGCGGGCAGAGATGGGAAAGATGGAGGTAAGTCTTGCCCTGGATACCCAATTTCGATGAAGAATAGACGCTAACATTGCTCTTTTCGTTTTGCAGGTTTGGGTGCAAGAGGTGTAGGTGCTCGAATTTTTTTTTTTTAAGACTATGCGTCCACGAGGCCACGGCGTTCTTTGATGTTGATTTTTTCTCTTCCGATGATACTCAGCGAACATGAGAAAGCGCATGTTCGGCGGTCTATGTCCATTTCTAGGGTATGGAGCGGTTTGCGGCCGAATCGGATGTCGCGGTGAACTACCAACAACGGGCAAAAACAATAAAAGAAAAGAAAGAAAAGACGAGAAAAAAAAAAAATTTCCAAGCCAACATACACAACACGCAACAAAGAAATATCCGATTCTACCTCTTCGCTCTTCTCTCTCTCTCATCTTGTCGATTGTATCTTCTTTTCAGCTTCGCGTCTTCCGATTACGGTCTCCTTGGGTGATCGTATTGATTTTGGGCCGTCGTTCGGACAGAGAGCGTTCGATATCCGGGTCCTGCTTTTTTATATAGGTGTAGTAGGTTGCAGGAGTTATTTCTTATATATTTGTGGTATATGAAGGAAGATTTGGGATTTGTGGTTGGGATTGGATATAGGGGTTTTAGCGTAAAGTACCTGTTCTGTTCATTTCTTCAATTTTACTCGTCATATTCTTGTTTTTATGTCTTTTCTTCTTTTGATTCGGTTTCTTGTCTTTTGTGGTTTCTTCTCTCGTCTGTCTCAGTGCTTTCTGTTGAGGCACGAGTTGTTTTAGGGTTGCTGATGGCTGCGGAGATGGGTGTGCGCCGTGGTAAGGCGTGGGAATTGCTAATGTTTAGGGGTGCTGCCGTTTGCGTTTAAGCACGGCAGCGCGCGAGTTTATTTGCCGCGGGATTGAATGTATACTTATTGTGGTAATGGCGTCCTCATCTATCTGTGCCGTCCACTGCTGAGGAGGTGCGGCCGGTGAGACTGCTTGTGGGTATAGAGACAGGCGTAGAGTGTGAGTCAGAACCACCCATCCATTTTAATGCGGAGCTGGTGAGCTCTAATTGCGAGATGCGCTTTCCCATGTGAACGGGAGGGGTGGGGGAATTGTTTGGTGGTTCGAGCTAAAAGAGACGGATTTGAGGCTGTCTCGAGTCTGCGACAAATAATAATTTGCCATTCACTTCCGTCCACCTGAAGATCGGCATAGCATACTCACGCTAAACGTAAGATGGGGTTTCGGCATGAGGGAGCAGGGTCGTAACCAGGTAACGAGGGCTGGATCAACTCGACCATCTGGGCATCCCTTTCCGGCGACCGTGGGGCAGGAATGCTCATGACGGGGCCAACTGATTCGATGGCAGAGGGCAAAACCGCGGTAGCGTGAACAGGTAGCTGTTCTGGTGACCACGAACCTATCACAAGGGACATGGAAGAAGGGTTTGTGTGAGTTTTTCAACATACCATTAATCCAAAGCCAAAGCTAGGCATCACCAACCGACGGCAGTGTTGATCGCGCCCTTTCTTCAGGAGCATGACGAAGGGCTTGCCGTGACGGGGCGGCGAGAAGCGCCCAGGCAGCGCATAAAGAAACCGACCTTGTCTCCAACTGCTTTTCTGTTGTTTTATTTGTTTGTTGTTGTCGCCGTGATGGCGCTATCCCCCGTCGCTGCGGACTTGTGTACATCCCTTTCCTACCTCAACAACACGTACCGCATCATCAATGTCCGCCCCAGCAACATCTCATGGTACTCCAACACGACGGCGAACGTGACGGCCGTCTCGCCCGGCAGCGTGGACATCGCGACGAGCGTATGGACCCGCGTACCAGTGGGCGGGCTCGCCAGCGGAGACGCGGCCTCAGCCACGCAGCAACAGCAGCTTAAGCCGCTACTAGTCGACTGCCCGATCCAGGCATGCGGGTTCCCGATCTCGGGCCCCTACGGCGACCTCCAGCGCTACTTCATGTACGTGACGCTGGTCGCGAGCGTCGGCGCCGCGCGCAGCTCGCCCCTCCGCAGCATCGCGCAGCTGTGGCTGCTGAGCACGGGGCTGACGTCGTTCGTGCACATGGCGGCGATGCTGAGCGCGCAGGAAGCCGACGCCAACAAGTTCGTCGACCGCGACTTTGTGCCGGCGACCATGTACGCTTGCACGGCCGTCGTCGCCGTCGCCCTCTGGACCGCGCTGCGCCATACGCGCGCGTTCGGCCCTCCGTTTCGCCTGCTCGCCCTCTTTGGCGTCTGGGGCCATGTGGTCGGCTGGCTGGTCCTCACTATCTTGACCATCTTCGTCTACCTCTACTACGAGTACTCCGGCCAGGTCGCGTCGGCCGTCCTGCTGCAGTCGGACGCCGCGTTCTGGCTTACTGGCGTCTGCTATCTTGACAGCAACGGGACCACGAGGCCGTGGTCCGGTGCTTTCAACTACGGCATCCGCAGGACTAGTGAGCTTGCGCTGCTGGATCTGCCGATGCCGTCGTCGCTGAAGGCGAGCGCTTTTGTTGCTGCCAGTGGTCGTGCTATTCATCCTGTTTGGCTCGAGACTGTCGCTGCGGGTTTGCTGGGCCTCGTTATCTTGACTGGCGTCTTGTGGACTGCGCTGTATTGCTACGGCCGTCTGCGTTGGGGCCGCTGGGGAAAGAGGTGAGTATTTTGCGCGAACACTCAACACACTACACACACACAGCCGCTCCTCCCTCCATACCCATACCCATACCCATACCAACCACCAACACCCCTCCATCTCCAGCGCACCCAACCCTAACAATCCTCCTCACCAGCAACCCCCCCAAACCCTCCCCCACCAAACCGCTCCCAATCTGGCGCAAGCTGCTCCCCTCGCCCACAGGCACAAGCCGCACCAACAGCAACAGCAACAGCACGCACGCGACGGACCGCCTCCTCGACATCTGCCAAGCCGTGCCGCTGACCGCCGCGTGGGCCGTCTTCGTCGTCCTGCTCGAGACAGGCATCTACAAGCACGCGATCGCCCGCGCCGAGCCCGCCGCCCTGTTCGCGCAGTGGGCGACGTGGGTCGCCGCGGCGGTTGTGGTGGTATTTGTGCTGTTGGCGGGGGTTGCTGAGCGGAGGCTGAGGGTAAGGAGGGCTCGGGAGGAGGCGGCGGGGATGTACTGTGTCCCGTTGAGGGAGAGGGGGGAGGGGGGAAGTGTGGGTGCTGGTGGTGGTGGTGCTGATTCGGCTGCTGCTCGTATTACTAGCAGCGCCGGTGGGAATGGGCTTAACGGCGGTGCTGGTGCTGGTGGGGGGCTCAACGGCGCCGCCGCGATTCCAGCCGGCTGTCCCGGCCCGACCCCGACCCCGAATCTAGCCCGCCCTAGGCCGGTGTTCGGGCAGTTGAATCTTATGCCGACCTGGCAGTTCCGCGGCGCGTCTTGGCGGTACTGAAAAAGGGGGGTCCGCGGGGGGAGGGACCGTGGGAGGGACCGGGGG